TTTGTGGCAATTTAAGTTCATGTTGTCGTTGTTTTTTTTTCAATGTTGTCTGGTTCCAGTCTTCAAACTTGAAAGCTGTTTAATCATCATGATTATGTTGACTGATTTTGACAGGTACCTTAAATAAGAAGTCTCGATAACATCTGATCCCTATTCAAAATTCCTTTTTATTTAGTTTAGCCCATTCTCGTGTTCTCGTTAAGGGCACAACCAAGATACACATATTTCCTTTATGTAAATAACAATTATCTTATAGCATTTATCTTCTTGTTTTATACATTAGGATAGTGTGTGTATTAGATTATTTTTCAGTTGAAAGCAAAAATTTAATGGAAAACACTTAAATTAAATGTCAGTACATTTACAATTCAGAAGAAAGTGCATCGACAAATCTCGAATCAAGAAAATAACTACATTATAGCAATATATATATAAAGTGTCTTCGTCGGGGTTCCATTCTGTCGAATTTTTATGTGCTTCTGTTTTGCAAATCGACACTTTCAAATATGATAAACAAGATCAACAAGGAAAGGCGCGTTCAATGAACGCAACCACGAACGAATACGGAATAGCGCCTATGTTATGAATAAGCCACAAAAAAATGTTTTATCCTGTCACTTGTATCAATTTCGGCCCGATAACAAGGTGCCGTATATTTTTACTGATCTACGGCACTTGATCACGTGGTTTGCCGGACTACTTTTCAAGAAAAAATATAATTATTATTCTAACACTATCGGAAATTTTTCTATATAAACAAAGAAGGCCCGAAGCGTGCATTATTCTGCAACAATGCACTCGCCGTTCTTATTATCTCTCTGTGTATTTTCACATTGAGGGCGCCATTTTGTTTGAAAAATCTGATAAATAAAAACAATTTTTGTCGAATTTTGTTGTGAAAACTATCTAGAATGAAAAAAATGGTCTAACTAAGAAAATAATCCGACACCAATATCTTTAATTCAGTCGTTAACGCTGTACAGACGTTTAAAGTACGCTATTTTAATGTCGCAAACGAGTTAAGTTTTACATTTATTTCACTTTTAATAATTTTTATTTCGCTTGAAAAATTATAGAGTGAAATAAAATAAACAAACAAAGTTTTATCAACGTTTCGAAAATTTGTTACTCTACACACAGAAGATTTAACGACAGTTTTTTTTTCATACCACTGGAACGGCCTGTAAAGAACGTTTCTATTGGAAACTCTGAGGCGGAAAAAAAAACTGTCGTCATGACGTCACGTCCGGTTGGACGTAAACAACTTTAAATCTGCGACGTAAAAAAAAGAAAAATAATTTATTTAAAGTATGAAAAACGTTAAATTCAAAAAAAAAAACAATAGAAATGTGAGAAATTAAAAGACGATCATTTTCATGTATTTTTCATTAATTTTGATGAATGTTATGTGACAAAATTTTACAATAATGGATGATGAACATTTAGCGATTGAAACGATCATTAATAGAAATCATAGTAATGTGCGTGATCAAACAGCGGATTTAAAACCCTACATCTTGAATGAGAAAACAGCCATGAGAAAGAAATTGCAAGCGACAGAGCGTGTTCAGATGAACATTGAACAGACGGGTGGAGGAGTAAAAATAACGCTCAATACTGGAACATATGAATTTTTAAAGGCGGCTGCAGAACATTTTTATGCGGAGAGTTCTCCACAAAATAACCGGAAGATAATTCCCGTATATGACAAGAAAGATAGATTGATAGAAACAAGATATAAAGTATCAAACGGTAAGACGCATCTTTATACATTTAATATGTATCATTCAAAGTGCACATGCCTTGTTAACGGAAAACAAACAAGGCACTTTCTTGAAACTGATCTACCGAAAATGTTGGATTATATTGAAGCCGGTCTTTTATCAAACGATTTATCCCTCTCAGAAGTAAATGAAAATATCAAACAATGGATATTAAACAATATAAATTCTGAAGACAATTGGCAGAATGACGAAGCGCCCGAAACGGCTACAAATTTAAATATAATTTCGGAAGGGAACGTTAGTGACAATGAACTTGATACACAAGATAATACTAGAACTGATGAAGATGAAATCACTGAGGACAATGAAAATGTAAGTGAAAGACATGAATATTCTGAGTTAGTGATTTTGAAAGAAATTGTACTTGCATTACAAAGTAGTGTAAATGAATTACGTCAGGAAGTATCACAACACATTGATTTTTCAAAGGAACAGTTCGTGCACATTAAAGATGAAATCATGAGTGTGAAGAAAAAGATATCTCTTGAATCCAATTCGTTAATTAAGCAAGTTGATGTGATCAATGAAGCGGCAAAATCCATCGAAACACAAGTGAAATCGGTAGATTATTCTATCCACAAAAAATTACAATCTATAACAGATATTCTTAAGATGAAGGTGTGCAGTTTATTGGATTCGCAAGAAACGAATGTCTCTAAGGATGATATAAATCAAAATATCCACATTAGCGAAAAATCACCGAAACATGATGAAAAACATACGATGGAAGGAACAATACCAAAAAACTATTCGATATACTCAAACTAATATTGCGGACAGTCATACTAAAAGTGTCACGAATAATACAGAGATGATAAAACGACAACGTGGATCTTTTATAGATATATCAGACAGTACAGCACCAGAAAAACCAGTTTCAAGATCAATCCCGGAAACGCTTATAATAGGCGATTCAATTATAAAGGGAATAAATCAACGCGGGCTTCACACTTTTACAGAGACATACTGCATAAGAGGAGCTGTTGTGAGAGATATATCACATAAGTTGTGTAACTGGAATATATCTGGTTGCAAAAATGTAATCATTTATGTAGGCGGAAATGACGTTGCTTCAAGCACACCAACAACTGTAAGTAGAATAGAGTTAACAAAGACCATCAACTACTTATATCATCATGGCATTAACGTATATTTATGTACAATATGCCCGAGAATAGACGTCGATGTAACCCCGATGAACATTGCCATTAGAAAAATTTGTTATGAAACAGGTGCAACACTGATAGATTCATATAGTTCATTTGTGTATGGAGATGGAAATGTAGTGAAGCATATGTATCATCGTGATGGAATTCATCATAATACAAGAGGGTCTTGTGCGTTGGTAAGGTGTATTAACAAATCGCTGACTATTGTAAAGACGAAACAAGCAATAACTGGTAGATATCATACAGATACACAGAACACAAAACGTCAAGAACAACAGAAAAATGGATATTGGCAATTCCGAACAGAACCTAAAATCTTTGGATCTCTGTGTAAAATATGTGGTAGGAACAATCATAAAACTGTTGACTGTAGATACCGTGAATGGTAGGAAAAAGCAGACAGGCACGTGTTTATTAATCAATTTGATACAGATAGCCTATTTATAAATCTTTGTAGCAAATGCAATTTAGAGCAATGTAAATGCGATTGCCTATCAGTTAAAACACCAAATACTACTGATAATGATATTTATTATAGTAATATATGTAACAAGTTTGTTATCGAACAGAGCAATTCCGATTCCGTTTCGGTAAATTCAAAAAGTACTTGTGATTATTACAACTTTGTAAACAATTGTAATTCGGAACAATTATCCTCTGAACTAAGATATATTTTTGCATATACATGTAAAAGATTAAATAATTTAGGATCTACTATTTATAGTAAGTTAAGCAGCTGTAATCATTTAAACAAACTATCTAGCATTAATAACAACTCAAGAACCTCTGATGGGATTTCTAATATAATGTTAAGTAAAAATGACCATTGCGATAATTCGTATATTGATAACGAAAGAGTCAAATTTAAACAAAAGGGTTTTCATGTCATGAATTTAAATGTACAGCATTTACTCCCAAAATTCGATGAAATTCGAATAATTCTAAACGAATTTAAAGCGCATGTATTTGGATTATGTGAAACGTTTTTTAACTATGAATGTATCTGATAAAGACATTGAAATATCAAGCTACGTTTTTGAGAGAAAAGACAGAGTTGGTAAAAAGGGAGGGGGTATACTTGTTTATGTAAAGACAGCGTCCCTTTTTAAACGAAGATATGATTTAGAAACAGTCGAAATTGAATCGATATGGATAGAAATTAATTTTGTGAAATGTAAACCATTTCTCTTAAACTTTGTATATAGACCCCCTGATTCAAAAGCAGGTTTGGGCTGACCTGTATGAAAAACATCTTAAAATGGCTGATCAGATGAATTTAGAAATGCACATTCTAGGTGATTTTAATATACAATATAGTTCAGAAGAAGGGTTTTTAAACAATAAATGGGCATCACTTTTACTGAAATAACGATCTTAGGCAAATCATTAATAAACCTACAAGAGTGACAAAAAACAGTTCATCAATAATTGATCACATTTACACAAATAATCTTGATAAAATTAATGAAAAACTTCGTATCACAAATTTGTGTCAGTGACCATTATTTAATATGTTTCACTAGAGGAAATACTAGCACACATGCAGGTAATCACAAAACTATAAAATATAGAAGTTTTGCTAAATTTGATACAGAATCGTTTCAACGTGATCTAATTGATTCTAATTTTGATTGTATAGAGACATTTAATGATCCAAATGAAGCTATAGAATTGTTTTATAACATGATAAATAATATTCTAGTGAAGCATGCACCATTTAAAATTAAACGTATAAAAAGGGACACACAGCCACATTGGTACGATGAAGAAATTAAAAATGCACGCTTGAAAAGAGATAATTATAAAAAATCTAATCAGTGGGATTCATATAAACTGTGGCGGAATAAAACAAATAATTTAATTAAACAACACAAAAGAAATTACTTCAATAATGCCGTCAAGGATAAGAAAGACCCGAGTACGCTTTGGAAAAATATTAAAGATATTACTAACGATAATGGTACTAACGGGAATATCAGATTGCCTAATTCCATAACAATAGATGGTATTATGATAAGTCAGTCGGGTTTCAGAAAAAACCATTCTTGTCAAACAGCTCTAATACGACTCATAGAATCCTTCCTTAACGATTAAGATGAGGGCTGTTTGATAGGCACAGTATTTTAAGACCTAAAGAAGGCATTTGATTTGGTAGATCACAACATATTGTTGCATAAGTTAAAATTGTACAAATTTTCAAACACCTCAATTAAACTCTTCAAATCATATCTTGAAAATAGAACACAGTTTATCAAATATGGAAATAGTCATTCAAATAGTGGAACAGTGAAATCAGGGGTCCCTCAAGGGTCTATATTAGGCCCTTTACTTTTCATTTTCTACGTTAATGATATGCCATTTAGTACAACACACTCTAACATAGACATGTATGCTGACGATACAACTATGCATGCATCAAATAAAAAAATTGAAGTGATTCAGAGAACTCTGCAATGTGATGTTGATAATATAAGCAAATGGTGTAAATTAAACAACATGGCAATAAATCCGAAAAAGACCACTTGTATGATAATAGGGTCAGAAAATAAATTAAAATCAAAACCTTCTTTAGATATAAATATAGAAGGTACATGCCTAAGTCAAACGAAATCACAGAAATTATTAGGTATTTACTTAGATGAAAACTTAAAATGGAATGTTCAAATAAAGCACGTCTGTAATAAATTACAAAAAAAAATTGCTCTCTTAAAGCGTATATCGTACTTTTTATCCGCTGAAATGAAAGAAATGTTTTACAATGCTTATATTTTACCTTGTTTTGATTATTGTTGTATTATATGGAGTACTTGTAATAAAACTGAATTTGAAAAAGTGAATAAACTGCAGAAACGCGCAGCAAAAATAATATTGTGTAAACCAGTGAAAACGCCTTCTTTACAGCTTTTCCTTAAATTAAACTGGTTAACTTTTGAAAATAGATGCACGTACCATACAGCATTATTAGTATTTAAATCTATACAAGGGTTGACTCCTTCCTACATTTCAGATATCATAGTGTTCTCGAAAAATGAAACGTATACACTTAGATCAACTACAAATAGAAACATAATACATGTAAGATCTAATACGAAATATGTTAAAAGAACTTTTAGAAATAATGCAATGAAAGTATGGAATAATTTACCTTTATATATTAAAGAGTCTTCGTCTCTATATGCTTTTAAAAGAAATATGAAAAAATATTTGATTGATATACAATTTAAATGAATCTGATGTATGCATGTGTCTGTCAATTTGAATGGTTGTTGTTTATGTTGTTTTTAATATGTGTGTACATATTTGTAACTTTCATTATCTTGTTTAATTGAAGGCCATATTGTAAATAAGATTTGTGTTTCTTAATATGTTACCTTCATGAAATAAAGTGTTTATTATTATTATTATTATTATTATTACTTGATTTAATTGTTTTGCACGTGCTGTTTGGCGCTACATTGTGACGTCACGTAAACAATACTTTAAACGTCTGTACAGCGTTAACGACTGAATAAAAGATATTGGTGTTCGAATTCATTTTCTTAGTTAGACCATTTTCTTTTATTCTAGATAGTTTTCACAACAAAATTCGACAAAAAATTGTTTTTATTTATCACATTTTTCGAACAAAATGGCGCCTTCAATGTGAAAATACACAGGGAGATAATAAGAACGGCGAGTGCATTGTTGTAAAATAATGCACGCTTCGGGCCTTCTTTGTTTATAGAAACATTTCCAATAGTGTGATTTAAGGTAGTTTGCCTAATAAAATTCTTTAAAATTAAACGGTGACACCCAATAAATTCCTCCGCCTCGCCAGATAAACTTTCTCCATCCATGGCACCAACCTATTATTCTCTATATATAAAAGCAAAAACTATCAACGCCTGAATCCACGGCTTAAAATGTCTTTACATCGGTCGTGTATCTGCGTGGTAGATTACTCTTTTACATAAATGTTCAGGGATTGAGCTTAAAATGCCTGGATTGTAGTCAGACAATATTAACACTGGATGCGTAGGCTGTTCTTATTGCACAAGTTATACAATCAATACGTTTTATAGCGTCTTTTTGACTAAGTTGGCTTTAACAGTGCTTACGCTCGTAGCTTCTACCTAAAGACAATGGACACTTTTATCAATTATGTTCCCTTCCAACGAATTGTGATTTTATTTTCCTGTCATGTTTCTTTTAACAAGGTGGAAATGTTCAGAATGTTCCAGCTGTCCGATATCTTAGATAAGTACACACCATATTAAATAGAATATTATGTTTCGATTGATTAGTATCAACACAACTCAATACACTGTAATTGCATCGACCAATCTGTTTTTTAGATTACTCGTAATATTTTATACCTTGTCCCTAATGTCATTACTCTATTTAATGTCTGCAAGATCAAACGTTAATTCAATCTATTATTTAGCGGCTATAACAAACAGTGATATTCTGAATTTAATCCTAGATATAAGCACCTGTAATTGAGCAAATATATCATTCATTTTAATTAGAATTTAAATATTTATCGTTAAGAAGAATAACAAAATTGAATTATCTTAGCGAAATCCTTCTTATCTAGCAATGAAACACAGATTTAACTACTTTCGGAATCATTTACATAAGGTTACGTCCGTTACGATACTTAATATTACTGTTGATATTGAATGTATATTGAAAGTGCGAAGGGCACTGAATATAGGCATAAGAGCAAGTCCCACGCCGGTCACTAAAATGCTAATATAATACTTATAAATCAAACATGTTTCATGTGGGTTCAACAAAAAACGAGCCTGCAACAATTTCAGTTATGTCTTTTGTGCGTTCTTTAGGTATCCGGGTTTAATTAATTTTAATAGAACTGAGGAAAAAAAAGTTAATGCAAGTAAATTACCTGGTAAAAGTTATCACAAACCTGCGGGAGATCAAGACATGCAAGAAGGAAATGTTTACAGTGTAATTTAGATGACTTTACTGTTGAAGGTATAATATTTACTTTTCTTCTCGATATTTTCTTTCCACAGAATAATCAACATTTCGAAACTTATATTTTAAATTAATTCAAGTGATTCTAATACATCCTTTACACAAGGCCTAGTGGTTTCATTCCATTTGGTTTGCTTAAAATATTGTCGTTATTACTTGGTTTAAATTTAATTGTCTAGCCGAATATTTCTATTTGACTATCAACGTTACATAAAACGAAGCCTAATTTATCGGTTTTGCTAAAATAGTTTTATATAACTAGTCGCCACAAAGATTAAAAACCTATAGGTTATGACGAGCCTATTATTATTGTGTAACTGTTGTCAGTCATATGACCCATAAAGCTTATAAAACTAAACGAAAGTCTGTTAATAAACCTTTCAGAAGTAGAGCTAAAGGTTATAATTTTCAAACATTTTGTAATACGAATTTATAAACGTGATACGGTGCTACGGTGCTAGACAAAACGTAACATTGACTTCCTGGTTAATGATGCTGTACAACATCTTGCATTTTTACTTCTTGTTAAAGCATAGTCATTTAATGAATGTCAGGTATGATTTCAAAGCATTTAATCTAAGTTCTGAAAAATTGAGACACAAAGAGAAGCTAGTTAAAGCAGTTTTAAAGGACGGAGAGAGAATTTAAAAAAAATAGTTACCCGAGTAATTAAAAACTTTTAACATGTCACTGAAACGTTTATAATTTAAAAACAAATACTTAATTTATCTTGTTTATTGATATTTTTCTTCTTATCTGCTTTATTTGAATATTTGCGCAAACATTTACCAAAACAAAACGTTAACTTTTGTGAAAAGAATTAACACAAGCACCCACAAAAAAGGACCTTGATAATAGCAACAAATTTGTATTAGCAAGATGTGAATTAGAACGATAGTAAAATGCATTACAATAACCGTCTAGCTTAATAAATGATAATAAAAAACCAATTTTTTCACCATTAAATATTGTCATTACAAGTACTTTCAGGTATTATTTATTGTCGGGATTAATGTTTAATCAGTGTTCATGCTCTCTTTCGACATTTTTATATTGCAGCGTGATCATCTAAATCAAAACAAATTACTACAATTAAATGTTTTGACAAACGACACATTGGAGAATAACATGGGCTGTTTAAATGGTAGCTTGAAATTAATTACACAGATGAACCTTGGCTGGAAATCAAAAATACTCATTTAGTGGAATAATCAACATTCACCGCTTTATGTAATTGATTTTAGTCCTGTGGTAACAAATGAAATATGATTAATGTCCTTACGTGAAGAGTTAAGCGCTTACTAAGAGTATTGACAATGTCGCATCACGAAGTGATATTAGATAGCCATGCTCGACATCCTGACACTCTGTGTTTTACAATTAAAATATAAAGGTTTGTATACTTATTACTACACTGAATACATTTTGAATAATAAAACGACATCACATATCATAAAAGTGTAAATGACGGTTCAGAATACGATCATTTTAAATAAATAGTGAATGTTTGCTTTGAGAAAATCGTAGAGATCAAGTAATTTATCAACAATTTGAATTTACAGTTTTTGATAACTTTCTTAACAGTTTTCCATTTTATATAATTAGCATTTGTTTTTGTAATCATGTTATAATAATTTAAGAAACTTATAAATTAATGACAATGGAGTTATTAAACAATCGTAATCAATAGAAGTTCTGCAATTGAAATTACGCCGCTTGTCAATCAAACTGGCAGGGGTCACAAAGAGAAGCCAATCAGCAATCGTTATCAGTTCCACGCTAAGATGCCTGTGAAGTCCACCATTTTCCTTAGACAAGCTACTGGTCTAAGACAATGCTGCAGAAGTAATTTAGATTGAGATTATTTCAATTTTCTGTCCATTTAATGCTTTTTTATCGATATAATTATTAAGTGACCAATTATACTGACATTATGGTGGCATATTTCTGCCACCAGATAACCTGATAACTAAATAGTTAATTAAGAGGTTAACTTGTTACATAACTAGTTAACCTGATAACTTTCTAGTTAATTAAGAGGTTAACTAGTTACGTAACTAGTTAACCTGATACCTAACTAGATAATTAAGAGGTTAACTAGTTACGTAACTAGTTAACCTGATACCTAACTAGTTAATTAAGAGGTTAACTAGTTACGTAACTAGTTAACTTCTTAATTATCTAGTTAGTTATATGGTTATCTGGTGGCAGAAATATGCCACCATATGACATACTGACAGATCGAGTTAGTTAGTTATTATACAAAAAGTCAATAAATGTCTGCATATGGAAATAATAAGTACGAAACATTTATCCTGGCTATAACACATTGCATTGAAAAGGGAAAAGGTTAAAAAAATCCATTTATTTTTTCATTAAGTTCATAATCACATTATATATAAGGTCCCAGAATATCCAGAAGATTTACCATTTTTTTTTATTTTAACGTAAAGCGTCAATAAAAACGCAGCCGTAAAAATGCAAATATAATGAGTAAATACAATAAAAAATGGGTGAAATTAACTAACCTGAATATTTCTATTAAAGTTCAATAAATTATTAGATTAAATATTCAAATAGATCTGCTTAATACGAAACTAATGCCAATAGTATCATGTCTGATGTATGCGAAGTTTATTTTAAAGAGAATAATGTTGTGGTTTGATGTGAATCATATCAAATGTATGTAAACAATACATAATCACATATCATAAAAATTTAGCAAGGGCATGCAATTTTCTGAACCAATTTTTATAATTCCTGAACACATTAATGTATTATGTAAACCGAATTTTGCACACAAAACCCGAAAAATTATTTTAAATTTATTTGTTTTACTAACATTACTTTACTGTTTTTCTTTCGCTACTTCA